CGCGCCTGTCCCACAGCGCAGCCGGAGGGAACGGCACGCTCAAGGCAGGCGTGAGCTTGAACTGCATTCAGGTTACTCCACGCACTCAGTGTCCGACTCATCTGTAGAACAGGTCGTTCTCAAGGGCTTACACAGCTCTGTTACTTTCTCAGTCCATCTCACGTTACTTCTGAAAACCTAGTGATGAACTTTCTACAATGTACAGCCCTTCCCAGTCTTCTTTATTTCATGCATTAGATGTTTTTATATTGTATCTCTTGATGCACTATTCAAAGCCCTAGCCAATAGCAAACATTCACTTTTTAAAATATATTCCACTCCTTCGTGGAGCCCAAGCTTCAGAGCAATCCCAACCAAAATGCTCTGGTTCCTTGGGACTGCACTAAAATTTTATTCTTCTCTGTGCCCTTTCTCTATATGCATTTAATTTTTGCAGTGCTCCTTTGCCCAGATAGCAGCTGCCATTTATGGAGCCCTTCTTCCATGAAGAAACTTTCTCTTCACAAACCATCCCTGCAGTCTTAAGGCTGGTTTTGAATAGTGCATGGGAGAGGAAATTGCAAGTTGCAAAAGACCACAAAGATAAAAAGCAAGCTAGAAAAAAAGCAGAAATGGGGGGGGGGGGAAGGAAAATGCCAGGGCAGTATGTATGTCCTTTACTGGATTTGGCCCTTGGTCCAGATCTGATCCTAAGCTCCCTACCCTCCTTCTCTCCCTGAGGGGCTCTCAGGAGCACTTACAGAGTGTGCGATTGAGCTTGGAGGAAGGATAAGAAAAGAGAGCTGATGTCTTCTTGTTCCTGGCCACGTAAAACATGAGATTGCAGCAGGCCCTGAAATTGCAGAACGGTGGTTATTGAATAAGCCTTCTCCAAGAAACGTGAAATAGTCGTTACCTGCATGAATAGTTCGTTATCTGCATGATTGCAGTATAAAGTCCAGTAGAAAAAGCAAGCTGCTGTTCTGGGAGCCCGAGAGCATCTGATCTAAGTACATAGGAACATCCGACCGTGATGAGGAACACACGCTGGATACAAGCTTAACAATTCTGGTAATAAATCAGATGTTGCTAACGGGTCACATTCTCATCTTTACCCGTTCACTTTACCCTGCAAGTTATCCACCCGAGGTCTACAGGTGCCCTTTGCAGTGTGAAGTGATATTCAACAACACCTCGAAATGACCAAATTAAAAAGCAGGTTAGGGAATGAAAAGAGTACTGATTTGGGGTGGATTTACTACAGGACTAAAGGGCAGAGCTTCCAGTCCTGGCTTTGCCTTGGCGCGGTTTGCTTTCCCGGCATGGGGAACGCAAACCTTTTGCTTGCTCCGCTCCCCATAGATCTCTTCCTACAGTGGTTGAACCTGGCCCTATGAAATGATTAGATTTATACCAAAATGCAAGTGTCCCGTCAGTGATCGAGATGGGTTTTTGCCACAAAAGAAGTGAGGGAAATATGTGTGCGCAGCAGCTACAGAAGTGATATTATTGGCACTGAGGAAGCACAGGAAGAAGTCACAGATAACAAGGCCACCCCCACAAGGTCAAGACAGACACCCGCTTCAGCAAAACACAGCGTTTAGCCTTGGTGAATGATTTGTCTGAGTCCGAAAAGCAAACACGCAGCAGCAAGACTTCCCCGAGGTGCAGGATGTGAGAGAAAAAGTAACGAGTTTTTGTTCTTCTTCTGCAGCCAGCTGTAACTGTAGGGGCTCGGACGCGTCAGGAGGTTACGTGGTTTAACGGGTCAGCCGCGCAAAAGCAGCAACCTGTGCGTGTGCGCCCAGAGCGTGGGAAATGATTTGGCTTTAGACTGCAATGAAAGAAGGCCAGAAAGAAATCACGTCACCTTCAATTAGCCAATGGCTTAAACTTACACGGCGCAAGGTACTTCCTTGGCACAGGCCTGTTTATCTACCAAGGAGCACAAAGTCCTGTTGCCCTGGACACCAGGAGAGCTGCAGACATCAGGAGGCGCCTTATGGATTTATAATTTCCCAGCAGCCCTGCCGTCCAGTTCCAGCTCTGGGCCGCTTTCGCCTCCGGTTTCCTCCCTGTCTTCTGATTTCTTTTAGTGCGTATTAGCACACACAACACACGAACGCTCTTCCTTTTGTTCTTAAAAGTAGCTGCTCCTCCAGACCCTTGCTCCCACTTCTACACCTTCTTGTGCATCGGCGCAGCCTCAAAACAGCTCAGATCTGAGAAACGATCCCCCGGAGAGAAAGGCCGGCAAAAATAATGGTCACTTCCAGCTAGACCAGGTCTCTGTTCCGTGCAGCTGCACAAGAGGCAGTGGTGCAGGGCTGGGAACCAGGGCGAGAAGGACGAGGATGAGGATGGGAGGAGGAAATCAGAGTTGCAATGGAAAGAGGGGGGAGCTGGCAATCACTAGAGCAAGTTCTGCCATCAAGAAGCGGCTTGTGAAAAAAATACACATTTGCTGTCTTATTTTTGCTGCTGATGTTATTTTTACTGAATGTGTAATATCTGCTTTAGCAAAACAAATATCACTCTTGGGTTTTTGCCATACCATGAATTTTTAATGTTTTCATTTCTTTAATAGAATGCATTAGGGCTTTAGCAGAGTCTGTGACTGCATAAAAGCGAAACTCCACTTCCTTACCTGCTTATGCACCACCGAGGCCATCTGTCCTCAGGATTTAACAGCTGTGACACCAAATCCAACTGCTAGCTATTTTGACGTGAACCAGGTACCACTTAAAAAAAATCCCCTTGGCAGCTGACTGCATCTTCAACCACCAACACATTCAAAAAAAGAGCTCTTAATACTTTCTGGGATCAGACCGCAGTTTTGCTACCTACGAACAACCGGTCTCAGCGTTCCTGCGCCACGACAAAAACAGCGGCTTACGAGGAAAAAGGTGTACAAAGGCTTCGTTATGAGCCAGCCCGAGAAGAAAGTTTGCAAACGCAGCGCATCCGCAGCCCGCAGAGCTTTTTAGAGGTGCGGACCGTGGATCACCTCGAGGAAATCCTTATGGGGGGGAGGGAGAGAGGGAAGGCAATCAAATGCAAAGCAGCCGGTGTTTGAGGAGCGTTCAGGTGCTCCGAGGAAGCCCGATACCCCATTTCGCCACAGAAAGGCCGGGAGGGCATGCGGCCAGCGTGGGGCTACCC